ATACCTTTGGTGTATAGGACGCAAGCAGATTTTGACATCAAATTTTGGGGTAAAAAAAGTGTGTCTTATACACCAAAAAATATGGTACATTTGACATTTAAGTGTTTTTCACACTGAATATTTGAAAGTACATGTACATGTTAATAAGCATGTTGTAATGTTTTGTCATCTATCACTGAAATTAGTTTATCTGTTTCTTTGTTTCACCAATGTAATACAATTCAAATTTTTCACTTGCACACAAAGCTCAAAATGTTTATTTAATAGATGCATATTAGTAAGAAAAAATAAGTTTTGCTTATATTTAAGAATCGTTCACCATTTGCCAAAAGCTAATAAAATTTAACAATCAACTATTTTATCAAAACAAACAGTTTTTGAAGTATTGTGAAAACTACACAAATCTTGTGAATTCTACATTTTCTAAAGAATATTTTTTTTTTATTATTATAAAATATTATTAAATTTCACAACATTAACGTGGGATCGTTATCAGCAATATATGCATACTCAATAAACATATACAACTGATATAAGGACAGATTACAAGCTGAAAACTGATTTTTGAAAATGTGGCTAACAACATATCCTGTTCAAGAGAAAATTATGTCCTACATTACCAGTGTTCCTGTCCACAACATAACACGTTATGAATTTGCTAATGATCCCATTATAACATGTGAAAAATGCAGTGATATTTTAAGTTCTTTTTAAAGCCATATTTTCAGCTGTTTTTAACTCTTTTTCACAGCTTGGTGTTTAAGATACTTGTAGTTTATTTATTCAAAAAGATGTTTTGTCCCATATCTAATTAATATATACTTGTCATTTGTTTAATTTTGCACAAAGTTATTTTAGGGTTATCTAAACTAGCTGTCCCTAATTTTGAAGTGATAGAATAGAAGGAAGAGACGGTGGTAAAGGGGTGGAAACTTCAAAACTTCAGATTCACAGTCTAACATGGTAACCATTTGGCCATACCCAGCCCTAATATTTAATTTCTTGGTAATAAATATATACATACTAAAAAACTATTAAAATTTTAACACATCTTGGGAAATCAAAAATACAATATTTGGTTAATATTAATCATTCATTAACATTCTGATTATTTATTACTAAGTAATATGTTAATTTGTAGTGAGTGAAGTGCCTGAAGTGAAAAATATGTTCAAAATTATTTTTTTTATTTTCCTTTGTTAATGACAAAGAAACATGTAGAACATTAACAAATACTATTTAGTATGGTTTAGAAAACAAGAATTTAATTTATAGCATGTACATGGTTTATGAGTTAGCTACAGCAGGAGTGGATGCATCTTAATGTCGATGTATGGGATATTATTCCTCTCTGATGCGTACAATCAGTAAGCACTTGAAATTTCTTTTTCACAATAAATTAAGTGAGCATCTTTGTGCATGTGAAGTGTTTCAATGTGTTAGACCACATGCATTCCACTAGTTTCATCATATACCATTAATGCTGGATAATTAGATTTTGACAATAGATTAATATCAGGCTCAGTAACCCTATGAACATACGAGGGTTAAACTATTATATTATCAATGTATCTTAACATACTTGGCATCAAAATGTATTTCATAATTCACAGTTTTATATTAACTAAGTTTTAATTTCTTGATTTAAAAATTAAATTTTTCAACAAATTCTCAATCTGCACCTCTGAGTTACACTGCATGGTGGCATGATCTGACTTCTCATCTATAATTTCTCTTTTTAATTTACAAGGACTTCAGATTGTTCAATATAATATTTCAACCTCTTATCTTCTTGCTTTATTGATATCACTATATTTCTTCAATCTACACTAGCACACCCCTCCCATATGCTGTTGTTTAAGAAAAGTCTGTTATTTTCTTTGATTTTGCAACTGGAAATGTTTATAACGAACAGAAAACACAAATTCTACACTATATAAATCATGAGATTGTCTGTTTAGAATAAACACATTGCTCCAAGTATTATTGGATGTTTTTAACCTATTTATAATTTATTTAAAAAGCCAGATAAAATAATTTTAGGGGATTCTATTTTAATGTCTGATATATATTTTTTGTGTTCTAAAATGCATATTTGAAAGCTACATGAATTAACTAAACCACATACACAAGTACAGAAGGCCTCAAGGCTAAAGCACTATATATTTATTGTTACTAATTTTTGAACAAAAGTAATTAAAATCTACAAATTAAAAACTTATTATATTAGACAAGAAAATTAAATGAAAAAAAATATTTTTCAAAGAACACATGCAGGCTGCCATTGTGTGATGTAACTCTATAGCTTGTTTATCCTAAGCTCTAGCTGGGTGTTATATTGCTCTTTCATGCTAATTAAATACAATTTTAAAGACCAGTAAAACAATAAATTTAGATTAAAGCAAATGTGAAACTTTTGGGATCATGAAGCTGTTTATAAAACAAATAACTGTAATTATCTGTTACATCTACAGTCACTCTAGAAAAAAAAATACTTGAGATTCTATTTAATATCTTTCAAATTTTAGTATACTTGATGTCAGAGTAAAAAAAAATATGAGATAGAGTATAAAGTTTTACTGAAAAAACTTAATATCTATAGCAGGTTCTAGAGATTACACATGATTTGAAAACTGTAAGATGAAAAAAAGTGTTTTTATTCTTAGCATGAAAATCATGTACAACAGATTTTTGATATTTCATAAAAGTATGACAAATTTCATGAAGGTATAGTTAGTATATTCAGAGTTATAGTATATACACTTTCATGGTGGTTACAAGATTTGTCAAAATGACCAATACCCATACACAAGTCATTGATTATATTCAATTAACTGATTATTCTCACACAAGACTTTGACATAATTAGACCCAAAATAATCAAAAACACTAACAATTCTCGTTAGTTGATATTTTAATGACATTAACTGATCTAATTATAATTTTGATAAACTGAGTTAATCACCTGCTCTGCACACCATATGGCACAAAATGAAATCATTGAGTACATAGGATCAAGCAGGAAACTCATTCTCTATCCTCAAACAATCATAAAACTTACTCTTCTCTTAGATACTGGAGTTCAGATGGTTCCTTTTGACAAGAGCCTAGCTTGTACCTTTGAAGTGCTGTTCGCAGCTCTACCATCGTTGTCATCAGTGTAGATATGTCGGGAATGCCTTGGTATTGGAGACGGAGAGGGTAATGAATCCTCAATTGGAAAAATAATATACAGAGTAACTACATATGTGACATATACAATACAGCTTAAAAAAAGTCAGTTTGAGGCTAAAACATAGGAACAAAGTACAGACAACTTTCAATACTTACAATTTGGATTCAATATAATGAGATCCAGAAAACAGAAAGCTAGCTCATAATTCTATTTTATAAGGGGTTTTTCTTTAATTTTATAAGTTACAACTTTAAATGTTTTTGGAGTTTTCTTCCTAATTGAAGAGGGGATGGAGGCCACTGAACAATTTAATATCAAGATAAACTTGATATTTTTTGATTTAGTCATTACTATGCATTTTAAAACATACAACTTTAACTCTGAATTAATATTATGTAAATGAAGATAAGACTACATTTTATGTGCTTTTCAGCTTTTATCTTCACAATAAACTAGATGTTTAAATGTTTGGAGAAGAAGCTCATCCTTAAGACTGAATACGAGAAAATAGAGCACTAGATTTTGCAAAATAAATTAACAGAATTGTGTTTTTTCAAATGTACCTGTATAAGCAAGATATACTATATGTATATTCAAATGTAAATGTACATGAAAGACTTCTGATTATGAAGTATAACTATTACATAACTACACTAAAGTAGTAATTCATTACGTTTTAGAGGAACAAATCAGATGGTATAAGCACGGACTTAATTTACCTTGGCATAAGTAAAATCAGATAAACATATGGCTGTAACACAACACTTATGTCTGGGTAGTTTGTAAGTTCTGTGTCAGAGTGTGTCTACTTGCTTATAATATTATAATAAGTTCAGTGATTTCTCTAAGCCTGTCTCCTTTTTTTTGTGATTTCACTAGAAAGTAGCTAAAGGCAGTGAGAATTTCTTAAATCCATTCGTGTGTATCACTAATTAGATTGTTAAGCATAAGAGTCATAATTAACAAAGAATTATACTATATTCTAAGTATATAAGTGTTACATACAATAAATGCTTCTCTTACGATAAAGTGAAAGCAGAAGAAAAAATACACAATTTTAAATTAATATTTAGGATGATAACAAATGCAAGAATTAAGTGTAATTAACTCGCGTTAGTAATTATAGGTTCCTAGTAAAACAGTTAGGAATATTTTACTTGATTCTTTGTTTGTACACAACAGAAATGTTCTAACATAAAGATAAAATGTTTAAAGATATCACCTTAAAGTAAATTCATTTAGACTATTTTATTTCTTCATTCTATTGTTTTCCAAAAGTGATATAAATTCAAATGTTTCTTTTCTCCAACAATATATCTTCACCATCGTACACCAACACTAGAAATAGACCATTCACACACGCACACAAATACAAAGCTGTATAAATCCAAAACTTGTTTACTTTTTAGAGCACACTTACAAGATGAAACCACTGTGTTTGGGCAAAATGCCTCAGACTGCCCACTTGGAACTCCACAGCCTTTTTCACGGGTATGACAGAAAAAAAGTAAGGTGTTCCAAATGTCAGGCTATTGTGTGGTTTTTACGATTTTGTTGTACAAGTAGACAGTATAACCTATTTATTTTTAGCATCTTAAATGGACTGTTTGCTAAACAAACTTTTTAAACTGCTTCTCTGCTGAATAATTTAGAAGAATAAATTAGTAGTGTCACTAAATATGTAAATAAGGTATCTATAATGCCCAAATGAAGCAAATGCCAATTCAAGTATTCAGTAATGAAAAACATAACTACTAGACCTATTAAACTCTGAGGTAACTTTAAAAGATGTATACGTATTCATTAACTCTATCAGCATGGGCTCGGGCCCTTGGGACTCACGTCATAACCATTTTGTGTTTGTTATAGTTTTCACGCTATAACTTTTAAATTAGTAAGCGAATGTTAACAAAATTTGGTTCATTATCAGTAAGCATTACAATGCTTTCATATGCAATATAACTTTTTTTATTATTAAGACTTAAGGTTTGTAAAGCATTTGTTTTTCTAATGCCTTTTTTCTTTTCGCATGTTGCCTATCTAATATGCAAAGTAATTTTCATTTTAAGATTAAAAATACTTTTATGCATCAAAAAATTTTCAAATTTCACATGCAAAATCTTTATAATGTCCAGATAGTTATCAAACGTTTCTTAAGAAAAAACTTTATATTTTATCTGTTATTTTCAGTAATGAATCTCTGTACGGGTTCGGTAGATTTGACCGATCTTGTGACTACCATAAAAGATTAGGAAATAAATATAAAGTATGGCTCTTTCATTCTAGAATGAACACAAATTATAACACGAAAACATACATGTTTAGACTAAATAATTTAAATGTCATAACATTATACATTGATATGTATATTTATTATATTGACCTTCCAGCCATGCCTGGCTAACAATACAGAAGTTACAATGATGCAACACATGTGCACTCATGTTACCATATCCAATAACAATGGTCTGTACAAAGTAACTTGTCTTGGCTGTGTTTTAGTAGACTAGTATTTTGTAAAATAGTCACATTTCCATTATTATGCATTATATATGTATAAAAATTATTGCTATTTTGAAATAAGATCTTAAACTTATTTTTTCTTAAAACATAGAACAGTAAATAGGAAGTAAAGCTAACAATTATCTCTTTTAGTTACAACCTTTGTACTCAGTTGCTGCTTGGCATTGGTTGCTAAGCCTTTAAAAATTTTGCACATGGAGGATATGAAATTTTTTTTGGTTTTATATATACATCTGAATAACTAAAAATCATAAATTACTACATCAATACCATAGTAATTAAGATGTATTTTAGTCTAAAAAAATATGAAATTACAAACAAACTAAAGACACGCCCTACCTCGTTTAAATATTGCTTCAAAACAAATAAATGCCACCAATACCATTAGTGGCTGAGAGAGCCACTAGGAGAACATTCCAAGCTTCTGATTGGTTATTCATGTCATATATAGAAGTAAGTGTATATAAAGGAGCACTTCCAAAAATGGAAAGAG